ATCTGGGGCCTCAACTCTCTAACCCAGCTGAAGGGTGGGGATAAAGGAGTTAATTTAGGAGAGAGACTTAAATTGGAGCAGGTGGGTTTCTGGAAATAATCTAGTCTTTTTAATTTATATTGGATTAAATAAACCCACCTCTGAAATGCTGCTGCTGTTGGGAGCCATATTGAGCGCCCTGGCTGGTGAATTGGGCCCCACTGTCTTACAGACTCTGTCATCTTGCTTCTCCTACAGCAGCTCTCCCTTTGGACAGCCCCGAACACTTCAAATGCTTGTAAATGTCTTATCTTCTCTTTGTTTAGCCCAGTGAAACATAAAGTCAACATTCAACCAATAGAATGAAATAGAACTTAAGGAAACAAGATAACGACAAGGTACAAACTGGGTGCAAAATTCTTCTTTGTTGTATTAACTTTTCTCCAGAGAGGCAGACTTTAGATGGGGGCTGCTATCCCATAACTGATGAGGCAGAATTAGGATGGACTAGGTGTTCCATGGTAAACCATTCTGAATATCTAGTCACAATAGGGCAATTGTTTAATTTGGATAATCAAGGGAAAGTTCAATGAAATTAATACATGTTGGGGATGCATTAACTTTTTCTTCTTCAGATAAGTGAGTTTTACAGGTAACTGAGTCTTGGTTAATCAAGATTTGATGGTGTTTAGTTCTATTCAACTTTCTTTAAAAGAAAACTAAGGACCAAGTGGGTAAGAGGACGATAGAGTTTAAGGGTTATGGCCCTCCCCTACCCCACTGCATGAATTAACGTACTAAGGGACTGACATCTTTCTTGTGTGCCTTGCCTTTCTTATCTCATATTTGGAGGGAAATATGGCAGGCAACACTCTGATTAATTAACATTGAAAATGGACTGTTCAGGTGTCCGTGTCTCAGCTCCAGTTATGGTTCGTGGTGGGAGCTGTCACACTGAAGCACCAGTGGAGCTTCACTTCATCTTGGTGTATTAACATTGAGGACTTAAGAAAAGAGAGAAATAATGAGTGTCCATGTGTAGTGGCTCTTGTTGATGATACCACATGGAGGATATCTATTGGCCCTCTTCCTGTGTTCTTCTAGGAGAAGTGTCTTGACCAATAAGTGCAAAAGGCTCCCTTCATATCACTCTTCTGTCATTCAGTAACAAAGGATGATGTATCCTTGGGGTTTGATCATGTGAAGTCACTTGGACACAGGGTTGTGTTTAATAAAGTTATTTTGTATGACTTACTTCCGCGTAGGGCAAATGAAATTGTAATGTAGGTACTTTCTGCTTCATTAATGCCAAAAGCAAACACCAAAGCACTTCATTAAACACCAAAAGCAAACCATCTGGACTGTGGCTGAGGGCAATATGATTAAAATGGGTCAAAAATAGGAAAAAAATAGTTAGAAACTTTGGGCATAGTTGAAAGTGCGTTCTGTCTTGTGTTTCACAACAGTTTGACTTTTTCATGTTCTGATTTTTTTTCTCAGAATATTTTTCTAAGCAACATTTTTCAGCTTTGAATTGGGATACTTTCAAAAATGAAAGTTTTGATTTTGATATAATATCACCATGTGTCTGAGCTGACCAATCAAACCTGGCATTTCAATAAAAACAAAACAAACTGTGGGAAAAATACTTCGAAGAGCAACCAACAGGTTACCAACAGGTTACACTTTTTATTTAATGTTTGCTTTAAATTTTTTAAATGTAATATTTCAAAAGAATATTTGAAAAAATAACTTTGATATAAATTTGCTCAAAAAATTCTGACTATCTTTAAACATGACTTATTTTTCTTTCTTTTTTGTTTATAACTTCACTTGGTCAAAAGATTAATTCTTTTGTGTTGTCTGTCTTTTAAAACAACAACAAAAAACCTAATAGAATGTTCAGAGGAGATTTCACATGCCAATAGTTAATGTCTTCATTTTACTGTTTGCCTTGATACAAGATAAACTTCCTCATTGCACTGTTTGCCTACATATAAGATGAAGGGGGAGATTTTTAAAAGATTATATGACATTTTGATCCTGGCCTACTTCCCATTGACTTCCACTGGGAATTAGGCACCTAAATACGTTTACACAGCCTACAGAAGTGAGCCTCCCATCCTGGGTTGTCAGACTTGGGCTAGGGGGCAATAGCTGTGTAGACATTGCTTTGACTTTGCAGATCAGGCTGGGACTCTGAAGCCTAGGGATTGAGTGGGCTGTCGACCCGGCCTGGGAGGCTCACTTCTGTGTGTTGTGTAGACATACCCTAAGTGTGCCTTTGAAAATCTGTCCTAAACGCCTTCATTTCGTGG